GGGGAGGCGGCCACAGCTGCCTGCAGGTGCCAGCTCCCGGCAACGGGAGGGAGGGGTGAGGCCACCCATCGAGCGTGCGAGGGACAGAGTGGGAGTCACCTCACAGGGGCACGCGCGCAGGAACCCGCCAGGGGAGCTGTGGGTCATACTGGCTCCCTCCTCACACGCGGGACACACACTGGCCTGCAGGTGAGGACGGACCGGCAGGTGGGACCCGTGTCCCTGCCAGCGCACCCGCCACCTGCCTCTGCCTTGTCTCCCTCCTCTGACCTTTCCCGGCCACACGGCCAGGGGCTCGGCGAGAGGATGAGAATGAGTGAGCGGCAGGGAGAACTCCAGGCCAGGGTTTGGGGGGCGGTGGGCGTGTGCGAGCGGAAGGCAGGATGAGGACACAGCGAAAGGCGGAGGGTGGGCACAAAGGAGCAAAGCCCCTTCCTCCCGGTTTTGTCTCAGGATGGAGTCCCCTTCACTCTCAGACAGTCCCACCCTCACTCACCTGCCGGTGGATCTCTGGAGCCAGGCTCCGCGCGGCGCCCCCTCCTGGCTTCCCCAGCACCTTGCAGCTCGGTGAGAGCTCTAACAGGTTGGTGGGGGGGCTGGTGGCGGACACCCAGTGCTCTGAGCCCACTTCCCGCTGCCCCTCCCTGTCGCCCTCGCTGCGTTCCCCACCACCCGAGCGGGTCTGTCCACGAGCCTTTTAGAATCCTGCCCTCTGAACCTCCTCCACGTGCGAGTTCTGAGGGTCGCGCCATGTCTGCCTGGCAGATGAGTGGCTGTTAAGAAGTGTGGGCATTGGAGACACACACACACACACACATACACACACACACGTGCACTCGGTGGGGGATCCCTCAGCCTGGCCTGCTCCCTCTTGCAGCCCAGGAGCCTTCAGCTGGACTCCTTAGTGCTGCTGTGGAGGCAGGAGAGTCTCCTGCATTGAGCGTCTGCCCCCTGGTGGTCAGTGCACGTCATAGCGAGCAGTTGAGTGGCCTTAGCATATCATTAGCATATTACACTTTGATTGGTTGAACAGCCAACCGAACGACCGGACACTTAGCATATTAGGCTTTTAGTATCACTCAACTTCTCGCTATGATGTGTACTGACCACCAGGGGGCAGACGTTCTGGTAGGTGAGCTTGCTGCTGTGGTCCAGCCAATCGGGACTGAGCGAGACAGGCCAGACCTGCCCTGGAGCCCTCCCACGGCCCCTCCCCAGCTGGCCAACCTCCCTCGTCCCTCCTTGGCCCGGATGGTGCAACGGTGGGGTCCCGCGGCCTGGCCTGTGCCCTCTTGCAATCCTGGACCCCTCGGGGGATCCTGGATCCCACAGGCCAGGCCGTGGGACCCCACTGGTGCACGAATTCGTGCCCCGGGCCTCTAGTGTAGATATACACATTCCTGCTGCCTTTCCCGGCCACCCAGGCTTGTCAGCATATCCTGAGGCTGGCCCTCAGGTTCAGAGTTTAAAGAAACCCCATGGCCGGCTCTCACGTGCGGTGCGTGAGCACCCTGAACTGCGCCGTAAGCGCCTTGCAGGTTAGCCCTGCGAGCTGTCAGCTTTCGGACCGACTCCTCTGCACAAAGCTCTTCAGGGGGCCCGGCTGCCTGCGCTTCCCCTGGGTTTGGCCTGAAGGGTTTTGTGCAGATCAGAGTCTGCGGTTTGCTGGCGTCTCCCCTGTTCACCCTGTGGATCAGGAACCGGCAGGTCGCAGCTCACGGGCCACGTCTGGGCCAGCCCACCCGTGCGTGTGATTGTCCACGACCACTTCCAAGTCGTGCGGCAGAGCCGGCCGGCGTGGCTCAGGGGTTGAGCGTGGACCCATGAACCAAGAGGTCACAGTTCGATTCCCGGTCAGGGCACATGCCCCGGTTTTGGGCTCGATCCCCAGTGCGGGGTGGGGTGGGGAGGGCGCATGCAGGAGGCAGCCGGTCCTCTTCAACCAGAAGTACCGGCTGCAGGGCCGGGAGGTGTGCGAGCCCCGGTACCTGGAGGTCTCGGACCCGCTCCGCTGGAAGCTGCTGCTGCTGGGCCTGCAGCTGCTGTCGGGCTTCTTCATCCCCCTGCTGTTCATGACGTTCTGCTACCTGTTCATTGTCAGGACCCTGCTGCAGGCCCAGAACTCCAAGCGGCACAAGGCCATCCGCGTGGTCGTGGCCGTGGTCCTCGCGTTCCTGGCCTGTCAGGTCCCGCACAACGTGGTGCTGCTGGTGACGGCCGTGAACCTGGGCAGGGTGGGCCGGTCCTGCCAGGCCGAGAAGGCGCTGGGCTACCTGGAGACGGGCACCGAGGTGCTGGCCTTCCTGCACTGCTGCCTCAACCCCGTGCTCTACGCCTTCGTGGGCCAGAAGTTCCGCAGCTACTTCCTGAAGATCGCCAAGGACCTGCTGTGCGTGGGGCGGCGGCGCGCGCCCG